TCCATAGCCGGGTTGGTTGAGAACAAGCCTGGGCGATCAGCTGCTTGTAAAGCATGGCATCTGTGTCAGGCATGTGGACTGGCACAAGGTCACGGGCGGCCCACGGTTCAAACAGCCATGGGTCTGGCTAAGATGCCTACATCTCACGAGGACTCCTGCTAAAGAGCTTCGCCTGCCATGGAATGCCAAACAAAGGGCTTCACCCACGACAACCAGGGTAGCGAGGCAAAGTGTCACCCACTGCAGCGTCTCCGGGCTGCAGCTTCACAGCACACGAGTCCTGCCCAGAACGGCGTACATGCGATAATTGGCCGGAACGATACCAACCGACATGAGACACGTCCTGATCTTTGTCCAACTGGAAGAGAGTGCCCAAGTAGCGATTGTTGTCATATGGGCCGCCAAAGAGCCTGCAAGATCGACCGGCAACAAGCAGAACCCCCTGCCAGTGGCAGGCATGCGGCTTTGCTGGGCTTCTCACTGTCCAGGACGCACGATTGCAAAAGCAAACCCACGCTGCCTCGCCTGCAGCAAGGTTTGCCGGAGATGGCTGTGGCAGCAAGAAGACAAACAGCCGGGGAACACTGAGCACCCGCAAAGTTTAATCTCTTTGCTCGAGGCAAGGTGTCGTGTCCCAGGCTCCCGCCAAATCTGCTATTGCTGCCTCTCCTCTGGCCTGCCACCGGCAAACACGCAATGACCTACCAAGCTGCACCGTGCCCATCCTTGGCATCGAGAACGCCGCCACCATTCAAGATGCTGTAAGGAAACCCGTCCCGACGTCGAACACCTCCCAGGAAGACTGCGCAAACATAAAGGACAACCTGCCAATCTAAATTGCAGGGTGGCGGGCCCCTGGCGGGTCACCAAGAAAGGAAAAAACACGCGAAGCCTATGGAAGACATAAGCACGAAGCGGCGCTTGGGCACTGACCTGGAAATGCAAACGTCTAAGAAGCACGGAGCAAGGAGACGCGTTTCACTCAATGCGCTCTGTTGATTCTAATGGCAATAAGCACGTGGCCCTTTCGCCGACCTAGGCTGCAACTTCACGCCTTTGGCTGAAGCACGGCATGCGCGCATCTCAGGCCAGCCACCACGCATGCACTGCATTTTTGACCCCGTAATGGTCAACCTAGGCTGCGGGGCCACTGGTGAAATGGGAACTTCAACAGCCAAAGACTTCTGAGCTTGATGCGCTTTCTGGGTGGTTGCCCTTGTCCCACCTTAGAGTGCTTCAAAGAGTGAGGGTTGCTAGCGCTTTATGAGATCGCAGCCATGCTGAGGGCGCAGCTGACCGCTAAAGCCGAAGGCCGGAACGCCAGTGGTGCAAATCTTGGCCACGCTTAGAACGGAGAGGGGGAGAAAAGGAGGGAAGAAACAAGAGAGCGAGAGAGAGAGAGAGAAAGATACAAAGACAGAGAGAGGAGGAGAGAAAAAGAGGAGAGAGCAAGAGAAAGACATAGAGAGAGAGGGAGAAAGAGAGAAATCAAGACAAAGAGAAGAAGAGAAAGAGAGAATGAGATCAACAAATGAAAAACGGATACAGCAAAAGAACAAAAGGAGAAACAGAGCAACAAAGGCAAGAAGCAAGAGACAAGAGAACAAGAGAACAAGAAAACAAGAGACCGAGAGACAGAGGGCAAGAGAGCAAGAGAGCAAGAGAGCAACAGAGCAACAGAGCAAGAGAGAAAGGGAGACAGAGAGAAAGAGAGGAAGAGAGGAAGAGAGGAAGAGAGAAAAAGAAGAAAGAGAGAGAGAGAGAAAGAAGAAAGAAAGAAAGAAAGAAAGAAAGAAAGAAAGAAAAAACAGAATGAAAAACAGGAAGTCACATCAAAAATCATAAGCTTAAAAAGAAAATAGACAAGAAAGCGGGAAAAAGAGCAAGAAGGAAAGACAAAACAGAAATGCAGAAGACAAAGAAAGGGGAGAGTGAGAGAGAGAGAGAGAAAAGGGGAACAAACAAAGTCAGAAAGTAGAATGGAGAAAAAACAAAGAAAGAAAAAAAAGACATAAAGAAATAAACGCATACAGCAGAAGAAAGGAAGGAAGGAAGGAAGGAAGGAAGGAAGGAAGGAAGGAAGGAAGGAAGGAAGGAAGGAAGGAAGGAAGGAAGGAGGGAGGGAGGGAGGGAGGGAGGGAGGGAGGGAAGGAAGGAAGGAAGGAAGGAAGAAAAGAAAGAAAGAAAGAAAAGAAAAGAAAAGAAAAGAAAGAAAGAAAGAAAGAAAGAAAGAAAGAAAGAAAGAAAGAATGTAACTAAGAAAGCAATGAAGACAGAAAGAAAGACAGAAAGAGAGAGAGAGAGAGAGAGAGAGAGAGAGAGCCAGAGAGAAAGAGAGCTAGAACTAGAGAAAGAGAAAGAACAAGAGAAAGAGAATGCAAAAGAACAAAACAATGAATGAATGCATGAATGAATGATATATATATATATGTGTGTGTGTGTGTCGCGCAGAAAGCCTCTGCTGACAACCGCGTCTGCTGGGGCGCCTGCAACTGCGTTCGCATTGCCTTATGTGTATGGATGCTGCAATCGCTGGCAGCTGCACGGAAACAAACCAGGGCCGTCACAAAGAGCTGCCTCCAAAGCAAAGGCATCCCGAGTGTCCTCAAGTCTTGGTCGTCCGCTGAGCGCTGTCAACTGCACATGAAAAACATTTAGCACTGGTGGCTTTGGGTTTGCCTGGCGCAAAGGCCAGTGACACCGGCGAGGCTGCAACTGCAACAATGATGGGGGGAATGCAGTTGCAGGTGGGAGAAAACAGGAGCTGTGGATGAGCGGCCTGTATGTAGCGGAAGCGAACGCGAAAACTGGGAATGTTGGCCAACTTCGACTACAAGGTGTCTGGCATCTACCTTTGGTCAATGGGACACATGTTCCTTGACTAAAGCGCTGTTGATGCTGAGGACGCCGTTTGCTAGCCTACAAACGTGTGCAACATTACATTTAAGCGGCAGACCCCGGGAGAAGACATTTCTGTTGATTACAACGCTTGTGACGCTGAAGGTGTCAACCAACTCAGCTGGAAGGCACCCAAGTCATATGACGAGCACCTGGCCGAAGCATTGGCCTCTTTTAGTGCTCAAGTAGGTGCATGGGTCTAGGTTTCAGGTTGGGGGCTAGAGTTTGGTTTCCTGTCTGAGTTTAAGGCTTAGGATACGGTCTTGGCTTCAGTCAAGGCCTAGGCTCAGGGATCAAGTTAGGGCTTGGAATAGGTTTAGGAGCTTCGGTTTCCTACCGATTTTCTTGTCATGATGCTTGCGCTCTATTCGCGCCTCGTCGTCTGGCTATTTCCAACAAGTGCCGTGCTGATGTGGACGCACAGCGTCGGTTCCGCCTTACAGCTATCATCGGCTCCAGCTTGAACATGGACACGGGATGCCAGAATTGGCTTATGCAAGGCGCCCTGCAACAAAAGTATACTCGCTCCCGGCTTGCCTTCGTGCGGGACGCCCCTCAGAAACGACATCAAAAGGAACCGGCCCCCAACCACACGGATGAACCGACACGAAGGAGCAGTTGTCTCGTTTTGAAAATATGGCTTTTGATTGATAGTTCTACCTGGTCCACTTTCTGAAGCTTCAGCTCTTTGGCTGTTTGACTTGAACTGTTCGAATTGACTGCTTGACTTTTACCTTTTGACTTTTCGATTGCTCCGGTATGGAATTGCCGGCTTTTCACCCGCGGAACGAGCCCAAATACTCAAGGGCGGTGCGTCAGCGTCTGCAATAGCAAAGAGCAAACTCGACAGCTCGTTGGAAACACGTGTGCACCAAGGAACCTCAACTCAACATTCTCAGATCAAACTGGAAGCAGAGGGGCGGCGCGCATTCGACTTTGAGCACCTTTCTCAAGAGCGGTATTTCCAATTGCTGGTTTGGACACGCTTCCGTTAAAAGCTATCAAAGTTGTCTGTTTTTTCAACCAATGCGCTCTGCCTCAGGACTTTGTCGCATGTTAAGCCTGTTCGGCAAATGCAGCTGAACATAATCAAGAGGGACACCGTAAACCAACATTGGCATCCCATGTTCACAACTTAACTGAAGCGCGGCACAAACTTCGGATATTAACCATTAGACGAGCAAGGTCTAGAGCGTAAGCGTAGCAATAAGAACATGAGTATGCAAACAAATAGAGTCGACGTTCGAGAAACACAGAACTCTCCAGTAGTCTCCTGGAAACGGTTTCACGAGCAACAGGAAGCGGCTGGGGACCAAAACCAATGGCAGCTTGTTGGAAACGATGTGCGTAGGTCAAGACACGCCATGGCGTGGCACATGCCTGGATCAAATTGGAAGCAAAGGGACGGCACTCTTTTCACTATCTGAGAAATGGATCCTTTCAAAGCGATCCAAGCGCTGCTTTTGCCAAAGAAACAAGCAACCCAAATTGGGATGCGTACGAAGAACGCCACGCTCGCCTCCACGTAAGTATGGCGCGCGCCAGAAACCAAAAAGATCTAGAGCGCGTGAAAGGTGGTAGGAACGGGCAGGAGACTAAGTAAAGTGGACGTGACTGCATTGGGTGGCTGATGAATACGATTGGTAGTTAGCGAAATTTAAGAGTCATGTTCTGGAGGCCCTTGCCAACGCTGGGCGATGATCACTTTTGGTGGGAACGGCACAAGGACGACTGGTACGGCACAAGGGAACGACTGTTTCGGTGCAATGGTACGACTGGTACAGTACAATGGTACGACTGGTACGGTACAACGGTATGACTGGTGCAGTACAAGGGTACGACTGGTACGACACAAGGGCTACGACTGGTACGGTAAAATGGTACGACTGGTACGGTGCAAGGGTACGACTGGTACGGTACGGATACGGCGCAAGGGTAGAACTGGTGCTGCGCAAGGGCGCGGCTGGTACGGTACAGGGGTACGACTGGTACGGCGCACGTACGACTGGTAGTGCAAGGGTGCGACTGGTAGCGCAGCAAGGGTACGACTGGACAGTGCAAGGGTATCGACTGGCACGGTGCAATCATGCGATTGGTACAGCGCCACAGAACCTTCTTCGAGTTGCTTCGTGTTTACCGGAATTGGCTGTTGTTTGCTCATTGTCCAATGTGTTTGTGTGTGTGCGTTTAGGCCTGGTGGCGGAGCGTTTCTGACACTGTTTGCCCAAAAACGGCAGCTTGTCCTTGCGACACACGCCTTACTTAGCAAGCACACAGTGCCAATTGCATCATGGACTGCAGGAGCTGTTCCTTTGCACAACGTCAAACGTATACCGTGGCTTCTGTGCTTGTGTGTACCTCAATAAGCACCTTGGTCATGTGTCATGACCCCTCACAAGCTAAGGCTAAGGTCTGGGAAGTCTAAAGCCTGCAGCGTCTGGAGAGCCAGAGACCCAGGGTTTTAGAACTAGAAAGTCTAGCGTCTTCGGTCTTGGGCCGTGGTCTCCGCAGTTCAGGGCAGAATAACAAGATCACGATTGAAACAGAAACACCTTTCAGAAAGACAGCATTTGACTGGCACCGTTGGTGCGGCAAATCAGGCTTTCAATCAGCGGCAGCCCCAAGTAAAGTGCAACTCCTTGTTTGGCCACATGTTCAGCATGCAGCCAGCCAGCGCCCCTTCGCAGCTTCGGTGGAGCTGCAAACGCCGGAAAGGATATGAATAAGCAACAGCAACCCCCATTTGAAGCGTAAACTCTTGAAGCACAGCCAATATCTCCAGTACCACCAGCACCATCAGCACAGCAAATGGGGCAGTTCATTTCATCAAGCTAGCGAGCTACCCAGCATCACGTGGCCCCGCGCACGCGCCACATATTTAACGAACAGCAACCTATTGAAGTGTAATCCCTTGTTTGGCCGCGGCTGCGGGCACAAGGGGCCACGCTTCGTGCACATTCGATTTGTAAAATTTGGTGCGTGGACGTGGCCAATGATGCTGGCTGTCAATGTTTTTTTTAACCACCGCCCTGTGCGGATGGCGCGGCCCCAGTCATGCTAGGGATGCTGACTGTATGCTCTCAGATTTGGCCAAATGTTCAAGGGTTACCCTTCCAACATTCTTTTTATGTGTTCAGGTTAAAGAGCAACTTAAATTCGAGCACCTATCCCTTTTGCTGGCTCTTCATGTTGTTGAGCCACCCGTTTTGAAGGCCGTTCATTGAGAAGAGCAAGAGGTACCGATGAACGGCGAGCCCTTGTGCAGTAGACGCAGACCTCAAAGTTCTGGAGTCTAGATATTAAGAATTTGAAGCTCTAAGAAAATGCCAGTTCGGAGTACAGCACCGTAAAATAGCTTGGTGGCTTTGAAACCTGCACCACCACACCAGCTGCGGAAATGTTGCGCCGTGACAGGTGTGCCCAGTTATACCTGCCGGCTGCACTGCTTGTTTCTGGCACTTGTTCCAAAGAATGCATGCGCCGAGTGTACCAGTCGAACCAACCAATTGTACCGGAAAAAATGCTACTTTTTTGCAACAATTGCTACCTTTTGTTCTGGACCAAACTCTGCACATTCACAGTAAAACTGTGCTTTCGGGAAACTTAATTGCTACCTTTTTTCCAAAAATTGCTACCTTTTTTTTGGTACAGTCGGGTGGGTACACTGGGTACGGTACGCTGAACCTGGTACGGTACGCTGGTGCAACTTGCCACCTTCTTGCAAAAATGCCACCTTCTCTTGCCCAAACCATGCTGGTGCACCTGGTATGGCACGCTGGCAGTGGGGCACCTGGTAGGGCTCTGCAGGCCTCTGATACGGAACCGACAGATTTTTGTCACTTACAAATAGCACACATTGACCGGCAAAGCTTTCACTTTTGTCCATGTACAACGGGCGCCTGGCGTAGACAGTTGACAGTTTGCACCTGGCATCAACAGTCGCGGAAGCGGGAAAGGCCGGGCAGAGCTTTGCAGGAAGGTTCAACTGCTAATTCAAGGGGTGGCCGGCGCTTAGAAAAAATGTCACCCTTGAGTTTTTTGCCAAATCTAGGAGCACAGTCAGCATCCCCAGCGTAACTGGGGCCGCGCCATCCATGCAGGGTGGTGATTTAGAAACATTAACAGCCAGAATCATTGACCACGTCCACGCACCAAATTTGGAAAACCGCATCTACATGAAGCCTGACCCCTTGTGCTTGCAGCCGCGACCAAACAAGGAATTACGCTTCTGGGCTGCTGTTCGTTGAATGTTCAGGTGCTCTCTACATGAACGGCCATGTGGCGCGTCTGCGGGGCCACGTGATGTTGGGGGTTGGGGCGCTGGCTGTGTCCGGCCAGCTTCATCGCGTACGTTTCAACTTCTCGCTCTTCTAAATCACCACCCTGCATCAGTGATACTGGGGACGCCGGCTATGCGCTCCACAGATTTGGCAAAATCAAAGGGCTTCAATGGGGGTTGCCACGCTTTCTGTATTATGCGCTGGTCAAAATGAATTGCCGCGTTTGGTGCGCTGACCGGGCTGGTGATACTGGAGATGTTTACTGTGCGCTTCAAGCTTGCCAAATCAACAGGTTAAGCTTCAAATGGTTGCCGTTGTTTGTTCGTGTCCTTTCCGGCGTTAGCAGCTCCACACCGAAGCTGCGAAGGGGCGCTGGCTGGCTGTATGTTGAACATTTGGCCAAACAAGGAGTTACACTACTTGGGGCTGCCGCTGGTTGAAAGCCTGATTTGCCGCACCAACAGTGCCAGTAAAATGCTGTCTTTCTGAAAGGTGTTTCTGTTTCAACCGTGATCTTGTTATTCTGCCCTGAACTGCGGAGACAACGGCCCAAGACCGAAGACGCTAGACTTTCTAGTTCTAAGACCCTGGGTTCCAGATTTTGCAGACTTCCCAAACTCTAGAGTTTCCTTTTTGAGGGGTCATGAAAAAAGCATGTCTCGTTTACTATATGGAACAAGGATACGACTGGCTATGCGCAAAGATTCAGCTGGCGCATGGATGCACGGAAGAAGGTGGCCTTGCCACTGCGCATGCGTTTCGTACTCAAAGGACAAGCTGCCTTTTTGGGGGAAAGCGATGTATCAGCTGCGCCAACCGGCGGGGCCACACACAAACACATCGTGCAGTGCAGCAAGCATCAGCTCACACAAAGCAGCTCCAACAAGGTTCCCTTGCACCGCGCCAATCGTATCCTTGCACCGTACCAGTCGAAACCGTACCGCGCCACCCGTACCATAGTACTGACCAGTCGCACCATTTTACCGCACCAGTCGTACCCTTGTAGCGTACCAGTCGTGCCACTGCACCGTACCAGTCGCACCCTTGCACCGTACCAGTCGTACCGTTCTACCGTGCCAGTCGTACCCTTGTACCGTGCCAGTCGTACCCTTGTACCGTACCAGTCGTGCCCTTGTACCGCACCAGTCGTACCATTGTACCGTACCGGTCGTACCCTTGCACCGTACCAGTCGTACCCTTGTACCGTACCAGTCGTACCCTTGTACCGTACCAGTCGTACCCTTGTACCGTAACAGTTGTACCCTTGCGTACCAGTTGTACCTGTTGACTGTACCACTGTGCCGACCTGCACCGTACCTGTACGCTGTACGCTAAAACCCTCCAGAAACCCTATGTTTCATGACTCTTGGAATTCAGCTAACTTGGTAGCACACCACGAATTGGTTTGTATATTTATGATGTCGGTTGCCCATCACATTCACGCTCGAGTCAATAGTTACACGAGGTTCCCGACTCTATGAAACCACCGGATTCTGACTGCAATGAGCCATGGCACAGGCCCGAATTCTAACTGCAACAAGACATCATTCCGATCTCGCCAGTATTGCTTCAACGCAAACACAAATGGGGGTCAGCGAGACCAACCTCTAAAACAACATCACATGTCAAACTGCCAGAGGCTGGAAGTTGGAGAAAAAACAAGTCGGAAAAGTCGAACAGTCGAAAAGTCAAAATAAGTTGTTTGAACAGTTATCCATATCATATTCGTTACACATTTCGATTTGTCTACCTTTTTTCTCACCGTGTCTCACTTTTCTCATGTTTCTACTTTGTCGTTTTTTGACTTGTCTACTTGGCTCCGGTTGGACTTATTCCCCATCCCCATGCCAAGAAATGATGCGAAACGCGGCAGTGCACGATCTTCCTGCCAGACTTTGAGTAAGTGTTGTCAGCTGGCGAAATACGCGATAGCGGGCAGCACTGCAACACTTTATACTTTGGTGAACTCAACAGTGCTGGGGCGCTCTAAATGCCGAGAATGACGACCGGGCTCCTGGTCGGTTGAGGGAGGCGTTGGAGCTGATTTAAACGCTGGCTTGGGCTGGTTTAGAGTGGGGATTCGGGCGGGGTTAGACAGCCATTCATCGGGATGGGATACAAGATGTGCTTCGGGTTGTTTTTTGGGCTTGTCTTCGCCTTCCTCAGTTTGGCCGCACCGTCGGTCCAGCAGAGGATGCGAGCCAAGCAAAACCACACACTGGGCTCCCTGCTGCCTCAAAAAGAGACACTTTGTCCAGGCCTTCTGCCTGGCCAGTCGCCAGTGCTCCGCATTCCTTCACTTTGCTCGCATTGGGACATTGCCTGGGTTTGTATGTGTGTGTGTGTGTGGGTATTCGTGCGGCTTCTTGTATAAATTGTGCAAGGTTGAGTCGATAAAGTGCTGGCTTTTCACCTGCCTTGTTGTTTCTTGGGATTGCAACAACCCATGTTTCTGCATCATGTTCCATTGACGCTCAGCCCTATGAAATCGCAAGATTGCAAATGCTCCCGCAAACAAAAAGTGAGCCATGTAACCACGGGAAATTCAAACTCTGCTTTTGTTGGGAAAAGCGCTGGCATGACCAGGAGACCGCGTAAAATCGCTGACTTGGGGTGGCTCCTTCAACTTTCCACGCGCTAACCGCTGAATACGAGGCGCCCGCCTTAAGTCATCAACAGTGCAGGCACGGCGCAGGAGACAGAGTCATAGCACAAAAGCCACAAGCATCACAAACCCGAATAAATTATCCTCCCTGTTCTGGCCCAAGACAAATGCCAGTGCACGATTAACAAACCCCCCCGATACCCCCCGTCATTTACAGCGCCCCGTTCCCGCCAATACTAAAATATAGGGCCAACAAGGTTTGCCCCAAAAATCCCTACCCTATCATTCTTTGGGGCCTCCCCAAAACAGTGCCCCCCTGCAGCCCCCAGCAAACACTCCCAAAATGCGCTTCCTGGAAATCCATTGGTCTAACGAAAGTTTGCTTAAGATGACAGGTGTTCAAGCTCGCAAAGGGTAATCTCCTTGGAGGGCAGTCCCCCTCATTACAGAAGACCCGATTACTGAGGGCCAAAACAAACAAATGCTGTTGCCATTTAAAGTGCAGAAGAAAAAGGACGAGGTCGTTCGAAGGGCTCCAGATGATTCAGGTCCTCCAAACATCCCATTTTGAGGGCTCGTCCTCACCTCGACTGAAGGTGGCGGGGCGGGGGGACGGGGGGACGGGGGGTGCCCTTTCATTAGTCAGGGGTATTCATTCGTCAAACACGACTGTGGCGCAGTGTCAGGCCAGCTCCGTGCGGGAAAACTCACAAGATTCCAACGAAATCGCAAGAACATCAACAAACAGAGATGACATATACAAACAGAGATGACTGTAACAGCTGCCCGCCCAAGCAAACCAATTGAAACTGCTCATTGCCTCTTGATGCTGTCGAAGTCAAACTGTCGAAGCAGGCCAGGCTCGCCCATGATGCTTTGTCACGGTTGCGCAGAACCTATGATCAATGCCGTTGCGTCACTTCCCCCGCCAAATATATCAATTTCTTGGCCCCCGGCTGCATTCACCTGAAACTTCCCCATGCCGCACAGCCGCTGCGCCACAAGGCTGCCAACCTTGGTGGCAATGGCAGCACAAGAAGCCACGTTGACTGATGCTGCACGGGTAGCATTGCAGCTGCCAAAAACATGTGCATTGCATGGACGTGTCCTCGCTCACCTTCCCTTTTTCGACTTCGAAGCAGGTCTTTGGCAAGACATTCGTGCCTCGTGGGAAGCTGTGGCCGCATTTCAGGCTGGACACGGGTAGGAGCAGGGCGGGGCAAGCTTGCCTTGCGTTTGAACCCCGCCCTGATCACCTACCACATCTGCTGATGTTCCTGGGCTGACTAAGACAACAAACTTGCGTGATAAACGGAAGGTCGTTTGTTCACGAAGCTGTGCAGATTGTTTGTGACAGCCACATTGTCAGGCAGAAGGGCAGTCCAGTGCATTAAGTCCTGCAGTCGAATCAGCAGGGTAGCAGCTGGGCGCAACCAGTGACCAAGCCACTCGGAGAACATATTGACAACTCGAAGCACGCTGTCACTATGTTCGACATCTGGTGTTCCTTCTCAGCATCTGGGGCATCCAATGTCGCGTGCTTAAACCAGTCATGTGCGCTTATGCTTGCTCAAACCTCCAGACGCTGGAATCTCACTGATGGGCGAATCAGTGAATTGCATGTGTTTTCCCACAAAGCTGGCGTCTTATGAGAGGGAGGCGACAAGTGCACTGCACGGCCTGATTTGTTGTGAAGCCGCTGCACCACTTGTTTTTAGAGAGTGCGGTAAAAGAACCGGCACTGTCGACTGACTCCCATTTCTCTCAACGACAGTCTCTCGACATCTTAAATTTCCACTCGCCGTCCCAAAACCGGGCCAAAGCTGCTAAAGCAAAACTTCATCATCCGCTCCGAATCTAGTTGGCACCTCCTTGTCTGCGTGGACACAGCATTGCCCATGCATGCATCACTTGGTGTCTTTGGTTGGTCACTTCAACCTAGAAGCTGCTTCATCCTTCTCAATATCACGTGCGGTGCCAACCTGAATTTGCACTTCGGCTATGCCTTGTCAGGAAAGTGGGCCTGCAGGCCCGCATCTAATGCGAGCACTATCAGGCCCAGGGAGTCTTATAATTCGTTTTGCGGTGCTCACAGCACCGTCACTTCTTCAGCGCCAAGTCCTTGAGTGTCCTGCATGCGGCAACCGCGAAGGCAACCAAAGCAATGTGATGCAGCAATAGCTGTTCGCAGGGTTTGTTTGCCTGCCGTTGCTGCCGTTCACTCTGCAAGGCAGGCGCAGGCTGCAGGCTCCTTGTACACATGGAAGCTCACTCCGCATCCCATTGTGATGGTTCCGCTGGTGACATCCTCGCACTGAACTCCACATTGACTGACACGTTCCTGCCCTTTGAATCGCTCCCTGGTCCCCATCAGTACTCAGTACTCCAAAAATTCATTTGCGGTGGCTCTCCATCTCTGCTGGATTGCTGCTGAACAGTGTGTCGTGTGAGAAAGCATCCTTGTTGTGTTCTGGCTGGTTGTTGGCCGACCAGCTCATGCAAACCGGCAATTTGCATGTGTGCATGCAAGGCCATGGCAAAGCTGCGTCCACGTCCGGGCCTTCTTGCTGACGTAGATCTTGCCCTCTCTTTGTTTGGCGGACGGGTGATCAATTGTAGCAGACGACTTCACCCATCCGAAGCTGTCCTTCCAGCCGTGTGATCCCACCGTTCTATGCCATATGATGCCTAGGATGGGTCACTTTCCTTTCACAGTAGCGCATCTGTCTTTCTGAAGCAGTCTGCATGCGTCAATTTGCGAATCCTGTCCTTCCAATCCACCACCTCACCCACCACTGGCTCTGTAGTGACCCTCTCACGTGGCAGATTGGGCCCAGATGGAGCGCCCCACCTTGGCGCCCGTAGCTTTGTCAAATCTGAATCTTTTAGAAACAGATCTCCGTTATCGCAGGCGAGCCACATCATGTTCCAATCCCATCCGCCCCACATGAAGCCGAAGCCCTTGCCCTTGCCCTTGCCTTTGCCTTTCCTGGGGGATAGGATTCAATCGTAGGCATGCCAATGCAGCAGCAAATGATGCAAGTCTGAGCAAACGTCTTTGCCAAGCAACCCTGCCCCTTTTGGCTTCGCCGCTTCTGCCACCATTTCAGGATCCTGTTCGGCCCATGGGGGCAGAAGTCCAACGGCATACATTCATGTGCATCATGTGTATCTGAGCTGCGTATGCCTAACAAGTTAGTTGTGAAGATTTACCAAGGCCCATAACTAGAGCTGTCACCTCGCTGATCTGTTTGAGAGCGATCTCTGCGGCGCTCTGCTCTGCCTGCACGCTGGCCGCATGTAAGGATCCGTTCGGTTCTTTCGGGTCTGTTGAATTTCATAATGATTCATGTTGACTCAAGGGGGCTCAAGTTGCCTGCCTTCTGCTTGGTGGAGCTCACATGTCCAGCCCACACTCGATTGCCCCAGTCTCCCGGAAGCGCTTTCAGCTGGACGGTGGCCTTTGGCACTCTCTCAGAGCCAATGCGCTGACTTCTCGGGCACGATCTCCGAGCCAACCGGACTACGATGCGAAAACCATCGCGCACATGGGAGAAGCAACAGCCGCCTGGTGACCGCCGCCTGCATATGTCTTCGTCTCATAGATGGTTTCCCCCTTCTGCAGGTAACGCTTTGCAATCTTCATGACCTTGCCATGCCCCATCGCAACGCTCCAGTGATGCCACGAGCTCCAAAGCTGCTTAGACCGTGTTCAGTACAAACACCGCAGGGCAAAGCTATGCTTCACACCAGCGCATTGAGTTTCCTCAGCTTGTTCCAGGAACACTGAGGCTGCACAAACTAGCACAAACAATCATGATCTGCCGCTTCAGCGGCGTCTTCGGTGTCACAGCAGGGTTTTCACCCTCCTGCGCTATTTGTTGGGAAACTATATGCTTTACAAGTGCTGCTTAACATGCAATATTGTAGTTTGCAGTTTGCATGCGGTCCTCAGCTTGCTTGGCCTTCTTCGCGGCAAGCTCAGCTGGCGAAAGCCTGCTTAACCAAGAGGGCATTGCGAGCATGTCATCTGTGGTCTTCCAACATGCGCCTGGGCCTCTCCTTCTTCTTCTTTGGATCCTGGGAAGGACTCAATAAGTTCAATTCGCCATGCGCTCCAAAGGCCTTAGAGGCGGGAGGGGGCAAGTTCTCCATCTGTGGGCGGAAGGCCATCACAGCCTGCTCGGCAGCAGACTTTTCCTGGGAGCAAAACCAATTTGCTACAGCAGGGCAGGCCCGCACGGAATGCTTGCATGCCCATCTTGCCCTGTGAAGTAATGCCGCAGCTTTGGTGCCATGCGGCCGCTTCCTTCTGATTCAGGCACAGGTGCCCCGCATATTCTTGGCCCTGCATGAGCACTGTCATGCAGGGTTCTGAATGGTGGGGTTGTGAAAGATAAGGCATCTCAGCCGACCTGGATGCAATCCAGCTTCACGATGCTTTGGTACCTCAAGCACCCCCGCCCGAACCCAGCCACTCCCAGTCGCCATCCACACTGCGCAGTCGCATCTCAGCCAAATTGCTGATTGCCAAACTTGTTCGTCGTGTAAGAGATGTCCTTAAGAAGTGCATCGACGGTCGAAACAATATGACATATTCAAGATGAAGCGGTCCATGGTGAGCAATCAAAGTGTTAGTGTCCACCGAGGGGCCGCTTTGGTCACTGGCCGCTGGCAATAGCGCTGGCAAAAGTGATTGAGCTCCTGGGCAGGACAATGATACGCGAACTGCTCGATGTGCACGTCACCCTTTGTCAAGTACATGCAGCCTTGCATTCGAGGAACAGTCTTGGGATCGGTTGCAGCTTGCAAAGACACCTGGGCCTTGGATCGAAATTGCTGATACGTTCGAGCTGTGTAGCACATGAATTGCCACACCTCTCACTGAAACCTTGAGGCCAGCACTGCCATACTGACCACGAGCCTGAAAAGGTCCGAATATCGCGTTGGCCAGCAAGTGCCAAGGAGCTCGAGCCAAAAAACACGGCGCGCTGAGGTCATCAATCCTACTTGCCTTGCAGCAAGCCATGATCAACACAGCTCAATAAAGCATGCCTACAAACAGCTCACGACTGCGTGAGTGGCTGGAAGCCGCCGCACAGGACGGGCTGGCTCGTATGCAACATCCTTCCGGGCGTGGAGCATTGCCACCAGCGCCCACCACGGCTATGGTGTCACCGTTCTGGACCTCGAAGGGGCAACACCTTTCAAGTTGCAGACCAGGAAAGCTTTTTGTTTCTTGCATACGTCCTACACAGCTTGCCTCTGCTGAAAATGAAGGCCAATGCTGACCCGCAAGGCTGGGTGGTCTCTCGGGTGTTGGCTGCCATCTGATCCAGGGCACAACGGTTCGTCTTTTTCCTTAGGTTATGCTGGCTTGGGAAGGCTGCAAAATAGCGCCGGCTCAGCTCTAAAATGTGCAGTGGTTTTGAGCTGCAAGCATACAAGCGCTGCAAAGTGCTGAGCATCGCACCCTCTCCGTCGCAACACGCCTCAAAGAGCTTAGCATTGAACAGCAAATGGTCTGAGCAAAGTCAGGGTTGGCCTTGACGACTTGTCAGGAGACAAAGTCCAGCGCAGCTACCTCTGTTTGCTTTCTTCTCGGGCAGCTGTTGCACTGGCAAGCTGCGCCTGAGATCCAGCATGTCGAGCCACGCTGCGCCTGGCAGACTGAAAGCTTGCGGAACTGTGTTTGAGCAAAGGTTTCGGGTGGTTGGGCAATTCTGCCCGAACAAAAACAAGCTCGGATGTGGTGGGGACCAGGAGCATGTTGCCGGCTTGGGCTATTCCAGGCTGAACATGGACGAACGTCATCAAATATATATATATATATATAATGTTTGAGCCTGCCGGGTGTTCTTGCCAGTAAGGATTTAAGCCAAATGCATTTGAGGGTCCTGGCACAGCAAACACGCTCAACTTGCTGGATGTGGGTTTGCAGTTAGGGTTGGATTCACGGAAAAAGGCGCCTCGCATAGCTATGGCAAGCCAGGACAATTCCGGGGCCTTGCCTGGTGCACATGGGGCACCAAGGATGCCCCACCAATCTTGGAGGAGAACCTTGACTTGCCAAAAGGTTGCCAATTTCTCAAGTCACGGAACCCCAGCATGACGTGTGCCATTCAGGCAAGGTGCTGCGCATGTGCTGGCGCAGCAACCGTGACCGCTGCCATGGCAACACTCTCTGGCTTCGATTGCCGTATTGACGGTTGTTGCTTACTGATGCAATGCAAGCTCTCCCAGGTCGTACGATAGTTCGATGCTTCATGCTGGATGCGGCAACAAAATGGCGGGCCAATGTGCAAGGTGCAAGCGCAGACCGGGCTTTTCTGGCGGCCCACCAGTGGGGTCGCAATGAGGCAGTGGGTTGCCAAACAGGCTCCCGAAAGATGCAGACAACATCGCCTGGTTGAGCAACATAAAACTTATCTGAACAGTTTTTCTTTCTTACAATGTCTTCGAGCCTGTGACGTTGCACTTGCAGTCGGCATGTCGTCTCTGCACCCGGATGCACGCACACTAACAGGCTTCAAAGTCTTTTAACTTTGACTAGGTCATTAGCACTGCAAGCTCACATTGAAAGCCCTTGGGGCCAGTGGCGTTGCGCTCCCAGCGGGCAAGCCGCCTGCCAATGTGATCGAGAATCAAATCATGCATGCCAAAAATAATCTAAGCCTACATTCGACACTTCCGGCTTGTTTATGTATCTTTTCACCTTTGTCCCCATACATCGTCTCCTCTTCTGTCCATATGTCTTTCCTAAGGCTTGCTCCTGTTCTCCGCTCCCCAGTCTCCCCACGTGAGGTGGCCCGTGCCCCCCGCTACAAGTTGCTGGCCTGGGAAGCCCTGAGTGAAGCGCGGCATGGTTAAGGAAAGATCGGGTCTTGCCAACATGTGTGCAAGCATGTTTTTAATCACAGGCAACGGCCTGCCAGCTCTGTGCATGTTTTACACTTGACGCCGCTGCCACGATTCGTCACAACGGTCACTTCACCGTGGATACCACCTGCGCCCCTAACCAATGAAACCACTCACAAATGAAACCCCCAACAGCAGGATATCCAGAACTTGGGGCGCATCCTGGAACCCCTCTCGAATCGCATTTTTGGAACCCTCCTCAGAACCGCCCCAAACCACCCCGGAGCATAATCTCTCGCTCTCCCTCGTGTCATCGAAGGTCTCGTCTGCAGAAGCGCAGGGCAGCTTGCCCGCCGAGAAAGAAAATCGAACCGAGTCAGGCTCGCGAGCTTAGCCGCCCCCACTCAGCTGTCACCACTCTCCCAGGTTTCCGGGCACAAAGACACTTCAACTACAACATGCCTCTCATATTTTTCAATAGCTCTGGTAGTGGCTGAATCGATTTTACTTGTGAGGTGCCATGGGCAAGGGCATGCTTGATTAATGCCCCAAGCATAGCCAGCACGCACTTGAACAAGATAGCATGCTGGGTTCTTGGAGATATCATTAACTTTGGGGGTGCGTGAGCTAGGAGCCAAACCACCCTTCAATTGACATGCTAGCACGACCAACTATGAGTTAGGTATGTCGACAAGACACACGTCACACACACAATCAGAAGCATGCTAGGGCTTCGGCTCTAGCACGACAAATCCAAGCGCGCTAGGCTTTGCAAAGCAAGCTCAACAGCGAGAGAAACAAAGCAAACCAGAAGACGGGGCCTTTATTAAACGGGGACTGGTAAGCGCGCACGCCTGCTGTTTTGAACATGGGCACTTCAATAGCGGCCTCGTAGCATGTGCATTATCGTGATTATTGCCCGAGCTCACTAAGAGGCATTGCTTCGCAGTCGCGCTTGAGCTGCTCTGCACACATTCTCCGGTCCTTTGTCAGACCGCTCAAAGGGCTTACACAAGATTTTTTCATGCGCTTCATGACTTTATCATGCCGCTGCCAGCTCATTCTGACTTTTCCAGTAAATTTGTTCGAACGCCTAAAAGCTTGAGAGCGCCGTCCCGCTTCATAGGTTGAAGCGCTTTTTTAAAGATGTCGGCGGCTGGCAATTCTGTTGAAATCACCACACCGGCGCCGGGCCTGAGCTGTTCTGAAAGTGCGGCAAGGTGAACATGTCGCATCTTCGGCCAGTCCTGGCAACGAGAAGGGTGGCTTGAAAAAGGACAGGCAGCAACAGTTCAACGAGGCGAACAAGCAAGAGTTTCTGAAGACTCAGGGAGGGTAGGCCCTCCTGGTACAATGAGTGTGCGAGTGACACTACCTCCGCCTCCGTGAGTCTCGACACTGACGTTTGTCGTTTGCTCTGCCAAGCCAACGTCATGGTTGCGGTTGCGGGACCACTTCTGCACCGCGGTCGCTAAATCACCAATGGGCTTGATGATGTCTGGGCGCGCTAGGCATCCAAGCCATTCATGAGTAGCTTTCAGGCATCCGGCCCTCGGAGCAAGCTCGCCTGCTGACGTGTTGTCTTCGGGAGGAAGCGATCCGTCTGGACAAAACGGCGTCGTCGCCTTCCGGCGGAGTGCCCGTACTTGAACAAAAACACTTCTACGGTTTGACGGGCGTAGTCGGTCATGTCATGTCATGTCATGTCGAAAGCAACGGCGCCCTTTATCGCGCTCGCAGCTGCGTTCAGATCGGGTTCATGCGGGCGCGTTAATATAATAATGGCTATGACCGAGCTTCTTGGAGATGGGCTCTGTTGGCTCGACGTTGATCATCTTGGTGAGCTTTGCCCAGAATGGATCGTGGGCGTCTTTGGGGCCCGCCAGGGTAAGGTCATCAACATAACAGAAAGGCCAGCGCCCTTGAAGCAGATGTTACCGGGAAACTCGGGAACTTCCTCGCCGCCGATCCGCTTGAGCGGGCTCCCAAAGGCCTCCGGCGTCAGGATGGCCGTCCCTGCAATCGGTTAGGCTCACGTCTGCTGGCACACCGCGCGTTCGCTGCGGTCCATCACATTTTGCAGGATTCCAACAAAGTTACCCATAGAAGTGTCCAGGCAAAGATGGATTTGTGTTACAACCGGTAGCGGGCAAAACGCACTTCGCTTTTGGGATCTACGACCTGCCACTCTCTTTCTCGCTGCGCTAAAGCCGTGCGGGGCGGGTGGTGGGGCCTTCTTTGAGAGGCCTTTTCGCACTGATGTCACAGGATTGGGTCTAGCGCGGCCGACACTGCGCGTTGAGCTGCAGCTCCTGGCGCTGGGGCAGGAGGCGCTGGTGGCTGCCTTAGCGGCGGCGGTGGAACTGTTCGCAGCTGCCTGATCGGTCATCTTGTCTTGAGACCCTCGTTCGGTCTAGGCTGGCTGCGCGCTTCGTACACCCGCCTGGTATTATACGCAGCACTTCCGGAGACGAAAGCTTCTGCGATTCTGTCCGCAAATGACGACGGACTGGATTGTAGGTCAAAATGCCGCGCTGCCCTCGAGGATCTTCGTTGGACTGTCTGTCCGCGGCGGCCTCAGCCAATACAAACCAGGCAAGTTACGCAGGCCCTAGGTCCACGCAAGTGATGGGGCACAGAGTGTTCGCAGGCGCCAGGATGAGTCGCCTACTGCCGAGGGTCTAGCCGGTGGGGATGTGGGTTGATGACCCCTGCGCCTTGACTGTCTGCGTCCTCCGCACGGGGGCCGGAGCTGGCTCCCTCAACGTTCTCCTTTGTTGGAAAGTTACAGGATGGAGGACCGAGCACGAGGACCTGCAGCTTTCGGCCCAGTTGTTGCTGGTGGGCCAGTGTTGCAGATGTCCCGGAGATGACGATGGCCGTTGTCAGTAAAGTCCTCTCGCCAGGCTGCAATCGAATTCCGGAAATCAAATGTAGCTTCTTCCCACGGAACCGTCTCCACTTCTATCTGAAAATGCCGCCACGCCCAGCGGTTGAGCTACGACGATGAACCCAACCGCTCCGCTGTTCGCGCGCTGAGAAATCAGCCCTCGCGGTGTCCATGCACGAGCTGCGCGCACTTACCGGACCGAAGGGGCCTATCCCAAGAAGCGATTACGGCTGATAACCACTAAACCAGAAGGGAAGCGCGCACTAACCCTGCTGTTTTTTAACATGGGCAATTCAATCTTGAGCCAAACGGGCATTGCCGTAGGCAAACTTGTAAACACGCCCGCAAGCGGCCCAGGGGTCGTGATTATTCAACTTGCAAAGTGCCCTGCTAGCACAAAGGTCTTCAATTGGGCAATCAAGTACGCTAGGCTTCGGACAGGACAAAGCACCTTGCCTAATTGGGGGGAATTGTGCTTGGGTACTTCGCCTTGTCGATAGCCTACACGCACCCACCAAACATCTTGGAAACAAGCTCGCACATTTCGGCGCCAACTCACTCTCTCAAGAAAGCGCGGCCCTTCAGGGCAAACCAAAACACTACACTTCAAAGCCAGCCAAAAGAACCCGGCTGATTCTAGCCGAGGCGGGCAGTGCGAAGCGTTTACTCAGGGGGTATGACGGTATGACGTATTGCTTGGGTGCTAAGCTTGCAAACAAGGGCATCCATCTGCTCTCTCAGCGCTGCCCCAAACAAAAATTTCGTGACCGTACCGAAGGATTCCCAACGCTTGTCCTTGACTGTCTGTCTTGAGCCATCTGGTGCAGCCCGCCTATATTGGAGGGACAGCCACACGCCTGGGTTCAGAAATGTTATGCCTGGAATCTGCTGCGGGTGCTACGACAAACTTCATCAACCAAGCTCCCCGCGGAAAAGGTTGTGCGCTTAGGATGGCGGGTCCTGGCGAATGCAGTCTCTATGAGTGGGTGGCCAGGCTCCAGCAAACGCGTTGAGTTCAGTTGATCGACACGGCCTGCATGCATAGGCATCGGACCCAGAATAGTAGCTCGCGAGTGCTGCGAAACCTTTGAGGGCAACTAGGCAAAATTGCACCATTCACATCTGCAAGTTCCCAACCAGTGGCGCATATTGCACGCCACCCTGGCATAACAATCATTTCGCATGCACGCGTTGCACTGCTGATGCTGCATGCAAGCAGGCCTGATTGGCCAATGGAAGCTTGGCTGAAGCGATCGATGCACCTGAAGCAGCAACAAAGCAAATATTCACACTTGGCTTGTCCTCGAGGGCCCTGAGAAAGGGGCAGTGGCCTATCTCCGCCGGATGGAGTGCCTTTCTGGCTTGGTGTGGCATGCACGTGGGCCCTCGACAAAGAAATCCTGGGGTGTGCCTGTGACCTTCTCTGAGGGAAGTGCAATTTCTCTGCTAGCACGTCTGCTGCCATGGGCGCATGAAGATTCCTCTGAGCTGGAATCCTCATCCTAGCAGTCCAAAAGGCGCACAACATTGTGTGGCGCGAGGAGGGCTGTCCTCATGCAACCCCACAGCTCTTTTCCTGTATCGATGGCGCGAGCAGCAGTCCTTGCTGCGGTTTGGTTTAGGCTTCCAGTTGTGAACTTCTAAGACCGGCACGGCGTGTGCCGAGTAGCGTCCCAAAAAGAAACAAGCGCCCATGAGCACCATCAATGCCAGCACACCACCTGGAGATGCCACGCAGCGCTGTGCAGTCACCACTCTCCCTCAGCCTTCGCAAAATTGCCATGCTGTGTGGCAGCATGTGCTTTGTTTGCCCACGGGCAGGCTCTGGCACAACTAAGGAAACCTTCTTTTGGACAGCACAGGTTAGCCAAATGCATGTGGTGCAAAAACACTGCCAAAGCACCAATCACCAGCGGCCACATTGACTCTGGCCTGGACGCATCACACATGTCACATGACCCATAGCATCCAAGTTTGCACAGCAGAAACTGCCGAGGCATGAGCGGAGCCATGGGCATCTCTGCACTGCTCCCAACCCTAAACAATTCAGGAATGAAGAGAGTGAGCTGGTGTCCGCCATCGAAAACTGCAAGGCAATCTTAGCTTGTCACATGGCCACTGAATCAGGCTCCAGAAGAGCACGGCACAAACCATCCTAGCACAAACAACTAAACAACTCACACAGCTGTGGTGGCCAACAATGTCAGCATTGTTGAGCCTTGCCTCCATATCTTGCACAATCTCTGACCGAATGCCCATGAGATTTTGTCTCCTCGCGCCATGCAACGAAACTCTTGTCCCAGGATGTAGCGCTAGCTTTCTTGATAGCTGCTGCCGAGGTTCAAAATCTTGTCGATGGCTGCCTCGGAATCTGCAAATGCCACACATTGGGGCAGGTTTCTTCTGTGGCCTGATCTGTTCAGCCATGCCCACTGGGTCAGCATGTTCAACCAAGACAAGCCCAAACAACCGCACAAGCATTGATATGATGAATGCGCTGCTGATCAGGCACGTTGATCGCAGAACGATCACTGGTAGCCTTAGAAGCGGGAAATCAACGTAGCCTGCATCCTTCAACGTGGCAACATCTCCTCTGAGCTCGCTGGCGTCAATGATGAGGAGGTCAAGGCCTACGGCGAAACTGGGTTGAAGGGCAGGTTGTTTGGCGGATTCGCATCCCACAGTCCGGCCTTTGTCAAAATTGCAGCCGCCAGGACCAGCGCTCTCTTGTGGAAAGCGGAGGGTCATCCCGGTTCCAAGCCTCAGTGGGACAAATAAAACGCACGGTTCGCATTGCATGTGGCTTCAGGTTGCTTCATGACTCGTTTCGCGTAACTGCAATGCTCCGCGCACACTGTGTTCGACACATTTCGCCGCGTTACATACTAAAGGTTCTGTCCCACGTTTGGCTGTTCAAATTCCAGGCACACATGCACGCATTACATTCGCAACGTCTATAAGTTCGGTTCAACCAAACCTCCCATACCATGCTATCAAACATTGCTACCAGTTTGGTGTTGTCAGTGCATAAACGCACAGACTACACTGCGCTTGCAATGCCACTCAATACGTATTGGTTGCATTGCAGTAGGTGCGCTCAGCGTGCGCGTGCATACAAACACACACGCACACAAACACAAACACAAACACAGACACAAACACAAACACAAACAAACAAACAAACAAACAAACAAACAAACAAACAAACAAACAAACACACAAAAACAAACAAACAAACAAACAAACAAACAAACAAACAAACAAACAACACACACACACAACCGCCACACGGCAACACTCCTGTCAAAGCCCACATCCAAACGCCAAGCAATGCCCGGAGTTATTTTGGGAAGGTTGCAAACAGGACAAGTTCTCAGCACTTCCTGGAGTCTCCAAACGCATCCGCAAGCCCAAAGGCTGACTCAGAGCTTCAAGCAGGCGCCATTGTCCCTGTGACAAGGCTCAGGGGGGAGGAGGGTGCTCATCGGTCGGGAACAATAGGGCTGCTCCTTGGGTCCACCCAGCCCGACAACCCCAAAACCTCCAAGAACCACAGGGCCCAGGGAAAGGGGTGCATTTCAGTCAGTTTGTCTTGTAAGCGACCCAAGTGGAAGAGATCGATTGCTGTTCCCCAATGGTGCAGTACATATGCGCCTATCATTACGTTGCGTTGCATTGCATGCTATAGGTAGCATCAAACTTGCACACAGGCATGCATGCGCACAACACAAGTCAGCAATGGATCTAGGTCCCTGACAATCTCGCGGTCACGCTTCCGGTCCTGCAGCCCAACTGTGTCAGTTCCTGCATCTTTTAGAGGGACTGCCACTCGTGCATTTGATTTAGATTTATCAATAAAGAATGCGTCTCAACTACCCGAATCATGACAATTGGCTGGGGGATTCGCACAAGCTGGCATCGGCGCCCAAGGTTGCAAAAGAGTGGCCACGCAAATCGTAAGAGGTTTGAGTTTGAGCCATCACTCACCTATCCAAGCTTCTGGCTCTCCAAAATCCATAGTCGTCAATCGCAGGTCATATCTGCACTGAACCTGGGCATCACTGGCGCACGTCTGTCAAAACGTAGAAAAATTAATAATCGCAAAGACTACCAGCCTCCACACTGAGGTCTGTAACAACCTTGGCAGTTGCTCGGCGTGTTGGACGTGGCGCCGGCCAGCATAACAGTATGGAAGGCCAGGATCCAGGTACCAAAATAGCTTCGAATCCAACAACCGTTGCCCACTTCTCAACAACACATGTTCCACGCGTTTGATGCGCTTCTCCAGCCATGAACAATAATAGCCTAAGCCTGGAACGAACGATGCATCGGCCGCACACCACGTTTTTCTTTAAGTTAACAAGCTTTTAGGTACAGCTGCATGCCATTTGTTTCTACACTGGGAGCTTTCTTCCGAATCCACCGAACAAACAGTTATCCTTCGGCAGGCTTTGCTGAGTTGCAGCACTCGCTACTGAACAGCTTTCCACATTGCACTTGGGAAGCGTGAAAGGCAAAAGGGCAGCCCGTCGACACAATTGCAGCAGTCGCTACTGACCAGCTTTCCACATTGCACTTGGGAAGCGTGAAAGGACAAAAAGGGCAGCCCGTCGACACAATTGCAGCAGTCGCTACTGACCAGCTTTCCACACTACACTTGGGAAGCGTGAAAGGCAAAAGGGCAGCCCGTCGACACAATTGCAGCAGTCGCTACTCACTGACCAGCTTTCCACATTGCACTTTGCAAGCGTGAAAGGCAAAAGGGCAGCCCGTCGACACAATTGCAGCAGTCGCTACTCACTGACCAGCTTTCCACATTGCACTTTGCAAGCGTGAAAGGCAAAAGGGCAGCCCGTCGACACAATTGCAGCAGTCGCTACTCACTGACCAGCTTTCCACATTGCACTTTGCAAGCGTGAAAGGCAAAAGGGCAGCCCGTCGACACAATTGCAGCAGTCGCTACTCACTGACCAGCTTTCCACATTGCACTTTGCAAGCGTGAAAGGCAAAAGGGCAGCCCGTCGACTGACCAGCTTTCCACATTGCACTTGGGAAGCGTGAAAGGTGTATAAAAGGCAAAAGGGCAGCCCGTCGACACAATTTGCAGCAGTCGCTACTGACCAGCTTTCCACATTGCACTTGGGAAGCGTGAAAGGTGTATAAAAGGCAAAAGGGCAGCCCGTCGACACAATTGCAGCAGTCGCTACTGACCAGCTTTCTACATTGCACTTGGGAAGCGTGAAAGGCAAAAGGGCAGCCCGTCGACACAATTGCAGCAGTCGCTACTGACCAGCTTTCCACATTGCACTTTGGAAGCGTGAAAGGCAAAAGGGCAGCCCGTCGACACAATTGCAGCAGTTGCTACTGACCAGCTTTCCACATTGCACTTGGGAAGCGTGAAAGGCAAAAGGGCCCGTCGTCACAATTGCAGCAGTTGCTACTGACCAGCTTTCCACATTGCACTTGGGAAGCGTGAAAGGCAAAAGGTCAGCCCGTCGACACAAGTGCCCCAGTCAAAGCGATGATGTGTTGTGGTGGTACTTGTAGCATGCGTTTGGGATGGGCTTGGTTCTGGGAAGCTGGGCGTTGCAAAGTAGTACTTTTTCCAGGCTGTACACACTCCAGCAAAACCCGAGCACGGACCAGCACTGTGACAAGCACTGCAGGCTGGCTCAAATCTCGGAAGCATTGCCCTCGTTTCAGGCCAACGCACGAGTGATATCAAGCTCTGCAAAACAGGTCCGACTACGTTGCACCCAATACGTATGAAACACGGATTTTGATGACCCTTAGGCGCTTCTCTTCAAGTCATCCAGGACCCGGCAAAGCGAACCTCGCCATCTTCACCCACGCGCACACGAGTTGTGTCCCCCACCGTGGCTGCCTGGCAAAAAAATCACAGCCCTTGGCTGCCCACAGAGCTGAGTGCACTTGGCCCCTCAACCCGAAGACTCAACACAAGCCTTCATGTAAATGTCGTAGATGCGGCCCTGCTGTATCAAGCCGCCTTGAGTGGGTTTCAGGCGCACCTGCAGCCGAAACATTTGCGCGCATCGGAAAGACACCCGAACGCTGCGCTTAACAGCCAGCACCATGCCTCCTTTGTCAGCCGCTTGTTGCTGAGAAGCTCCTTGCAACGCACCCCCGTTCAGCAATGAATCGCATGCCTGGTGATGAATCCATTGAATCAGCATGAATCAGCACGAACCAGCATGAATCAGCAACTTGTTGCACCCTCATCACGGCAGCGTAGGGATTTGCTACAAGCCTGTAGAAAATCGGACATGGCTTGCGCCGAACGCAAGCACTGGCATTTAAAACTGGCCCGAAAGCATGCCGCGTCGAGCCGAAGTCCTGGACTAGGTGCTGGCCGCTTGCAGTGGTGTTGATTGTGGCCGCGGGGGCACCTGGCCCGACTTTGCCACGGACGAGGTGCGTAACAGCCAGTGCCAGCCGTAGAGCCGAGATCCCTTGCAAAAGGTGATCTCAATGCAGCCCAATGAAGCTGCATGCACCTATATCCTCCTCCTCGATACCAAAAGCAACTGCCGTAGAGGCAGCCTGAGAATGCCGAAGAAGCACAGTTTGGGACATTGACAAAGCAGCAAACGGCAGCCCAGCCTCATGTAGAACGTCTGCAGCAGCGGTCTTCAGGTTCGCATCCCTGTTGCCAGGGTGGCAACTGCAACTTGCAACGCGCCTCCAAGCCAAAATGTCCATTTCAACATACAACACTCTTATGCCCCCGGCCAATCCCACTTCTGCATTGTTCCGCGCAAGCTGCTGCGTACCTTCCCGCAGTAGGAGCACAGCGGGACCAAGAACAGCACCAATGAAACAACTGCAGGTAGCTGCTGACCCGCGGAACAGCATGTGATGAGCGATGAGAGACCTGCCAAATGAAGCAAGTTGCACTGCAACATGCCATATACTGCACACCTTAGGCAAAATGTGAGATGTGATTTAATCGCTAAAAGCGGTCACTTAATTTCCCCGAAGAATGGGATTGACCAAGGAAGGCCTGCAAAGGCAGTGTCAAGCCCCTACCCATGTCTTGCCACGACACATTGTGCCTGCGTGGCCGCAAGCAAAGCACAGGCCACAAAAGCGGCCAGCGCATAACGAGCAAGCCATGTCCACCTGCAATGAGGTCAATGAGGTCAAGTCAGGATCCGGGAACCGAGGCATGCCTTCGAAGTGACACATCCTGCGAACCCAATTGCCCATCCATTGCATTGCCTCGTGCTATCCAATGCCATCGTCATAGCTCTAAAGTTGACCCAAGCTCGATCCAAAAACTCCGCTGAGCCATCGGTGAGTTCGAGAAGGTTGCAAGATGGCAGGTGATTCAGAATGCATGATTCGATGGGAGGAGACAAGCCACAGCTACCAAAATTGCCACGTGTCTCGCTCCGGCATCTTTTGTTAAAACGGCAGCCTTTGCATGTGGCCTGCAGTCGCCCAGGAAGGAACGCTCGTGGAGGCTGCTTGGCCCTGATGAGGCTCCAGAACTAATGGCACTAACCAGCAGCTTAGGCAATTTTGCCAAGAAACGTTGACCCATGCGGCTTGCCCTCGTTAGGGGCAGCAGCAAAGCCCCGACATCCCAAAATTATGTAAATCGCCCCATGACGTGTACAAACGAGGACTAATGGAGGCTTGGTCAAAATAGCAAAGCTTGCCCAGCAGGTCAGGTCAGGTGCTTCAGTGGTACAAAGGTTCAATCAAATCCTTCCATGTCTCCTCTGCAACAGACCGTTTCAGCTTCAAGGACGGCGTCAGCTCGCCTGTCGAGGCACCATACATACGAAACATGGGCATGCAGTCCTTGCACTGAAATTTAGGAATCTGTCCTGCCTGTTTGAATTGAGAAATCGCGTGGCACGATTGCAAACTTCTGAATCTTCCACGCATTGCTGACGCACACATGCCTTAACCATGCACCACTAGGATGCAAATACGCAATGAT